TGTGACCCCACAGTGTGACCTCACAGTGTGACCCCACAGTGTGACCCCACAGTGTGACCCCACAGTGTGACCTCACAGTGTGACCTCACAGTGTGACCCCACAGTGTGACCTCACAGTGTGACCTCACAGTGTGACCCCACAGTGTGACCTCACAGTGTGACCTCACAGTGTGACACAGCATTTCATTTTGGCACGAGTTCAAAAAACATTTTCAACCCTGAATCAATTTCTGTCTGCAGATGAAAGGAGGGTGGCTTTTTCATCATAAATAAAAAATGAGATTTCTGAGGCTTTAATGAAAAAGCAGGTTACATGAGAACGACAAAAAGACTGGAGTCAGAACAAAGTGGACATCGATAGGCAGATTGTGCTGTTCTGTGGGTTGTTGTTTTTATTCTCCTCAGCTAACGTCTCACAGTGACCTTCAAACATGTCGCTAAACTCAGTGACCTTCAAACATGTCTCTAAACTCAGTGACCTTCAAACATGTCGCTAAACTCAGTGACCTTCAAACATGTCTCCAAACTCAGTGACCTTCAAACATGTCTCTAAACTCAGTGACCTTCAAACATGTCTCTAAACTCAGTGACCTTCAAACATGTCGCTAAACTCAGTGACCTTCAAACATGTCTCTAAACTCAGTGACCTTCAAACATGTCTCTAAACTCAGTGACCTTCAAACATGTCTCTAAACTCAGTGACCTTCAAACATGTCTCTAAACTCAGTGACCTTCAAACATGTCTCTAAACTCAGTGACCTTCAAACATGTCTCTAAACTCAGTGACCTTCAAACATGTCTCTAAACTCAGTGACCTTCAAACATGTCTCTAAACTCAGTGACCTTCAAACATGTCTCTAAACTCAGTGACCTTCAAACATGTCTCTAAACTCAGTGACCTTCAAACATGTCTCTAAACTCAGTGACCTTCAAACATGTCTCTAAACTCAGTGACCTTCAAACATGTCTCTAAACTCAGTGACCTTCAAACATGTCTCTAAACTCAGTGACCTTCAAACATGTCTCTAAACTCAGTGACCTTCAAACATGTCTCTAAACTCAGTGACCTTCAAACATGTCTCTAAACTCAGTGACCTTCAAACATGTCTCTAAACTCAGTGACCTTCAAACATGTCTCTAAACTCAGTGACCTTCAAACATGTCTCTAAACTCAGTGACCTTCAAACATGTCTCTAAACTCAGTGACCTTCAAACATGTCTCTAAACTCAGTGACCTTCAAACATGTCTCTAAACTCAGTGACCTTCAAACATGTCTCTAAACTCAGTGACCTTCAAACATGTCTCTAAACTCAGTGACCTTCAAACATGTCTCTAAACTCAGTGACCTTCAAACATGTCTCTAAACTCAGTGACCTTCAAACATGTCTCTAAACTCAGTGACCTTCAAACATGTCTCTAAACTCAGTGACCTTCAAACATGTCTCTAAACTCAGTGACCTTCAAACATGTCTCTAAACTCAGTGACCTTCAAACATGTCTCTAAACTCAGTGACCTTCAAACATGTCTCTAAACTCAGTGACCTTCAAACATGTCTCTAAACTCAGTGACCTTCAAACATGTCTCTAAACTCAGTGACCTTCAAACATGTCTCTAAACTCAGTGACCTTCAAACATGTCTCTAAACTCAGTGACCTTCAAACATGTCTCTAAACTCAGTGACCTTCAAACATGTCTCTAAACTCAGTGACCTTCAAACATGTCTCTAAACTCAGTGACCTTCAAACATGTCTCTAAACTCAGTGACCTTCAAACATGTCTCTAAACTCAGTGACCTTCAAACATGTCTCTAAACTCAGTGACCTTCAAACATGTCTCTAAACTCAGTGACCTTCAAACATGTCTCTAAACTCAGTGACCTTCAAACATGTCTCTAAACTCAGTGACCTTCAAACATGTCTCTAAACTCAGTGACCTTCAAACATGTCTCTAAACTCAGTGACCTTCAAACATGTCTCTAAACTCAGTGACCTTCAAACATGTCTCTAAACTCAGTGACCTTCAAACATGTCTCTAAACTCAGTGACCTTCAAACATGTCTCTAAACTCAGTGA